ATATTGCGTTCGCGGTAAATGCTGTAAGCAAATATTTGAGCAATCACAACGCCACGCATTAGCGAGCAGTAAAACGAATATTCGCGTATCTACAAGGCACGATTGAATACGGTATCAAGTATACAAGCGGCGGTAGCGAAGCAGCGTTAATCGGTTTTTCAGACGCTGACTACGCCGGAGACGTCGAAACGCGAAGATCCACGACAGGATACGTTTTCTGTCTCGCGAACGGGGCCGTCACGTGGTCGTCACAACAGCAACAACTGGTGACGCTCAGTACGACGGAAGCCGAGTACGTGGCTGCGTCAACAGCGGCGCGAGAGTTAGTTTGAATAAGAAAGTTGTTGTCGGACATCGGACGTCCTTGTGATAAAGAAACAACTCTATATGTCGATAACCAAAGTTCAATTCAACTAGTCAGGAATCCGGTATTCTACAGGAGAACCAAACATATAGATGTTCATTTTCACTTTATCCGCGAAAAAGTAGACGAGAAAGAAATCGCGGTCCAGTACGTCCCGTCCGAGAATCAGCGCGCAGATATGTTTACAAAGGCTCTGCCGAGCGATCATTTCAGAGATATGTGTGTCAACCTAAACATGGTAATGGCTCACGAGAAACACGAGAACGGCGGTAGTATTAAGAATAACTGAGTTCAGCGCATTTCTGTTAGCGACTGTACTCCGACTCGAGCCGAGCTCGACTCGGATAACTTCGGCAACTCTCGTGCTCCGAAGCGAGCCGAACGACAGTCTACTCAGTCTCTCTCGAACCCCGAGCAAAGAAAGGGGAGCACATGTTGTGCGGCTTTATATCTACGAATATTAATCAATAAATAGTTAATCATCATTCATACTCGCCACCTCAATTTATTTGTTTACCCGTCCACAATCTCCTGCGTTATCAACAAGTATTTTTGAACATTTCACTCAGGAAATTAGTTCCTTTATCCGTTAGTATTTTCTTAGGTATTCCATGTTCGCAAATGATTTTTGTGACGAATTCTTTGGCTATAGTCCTGGCTTCCTGATTTGGTATTGGTATGGCTTTACTAAATTTTGTAAGACTATCTTGGAATGATAATATATATTTGTTTCTTAGATGAGAGCGTTCTAGCGCTCCGTTAGATTCTGGATGGTAAGCGGAAGTCTGTATTTTCTCTATTTTCAAAAGCTTACAAGTATTTTTGAACATTTCACTCAGGAAATTCACTCAGGACTATCTTGGAATGTCAATATATATTTGTTTCTTTGATGGATTTCCACTAATGGTCCAACGATATCCAGTGCACATTTTTCGAAAGGTTGTGCTGGAGTGTCAGTAATTACCATTGGTGCTTTAATCCGCTTTCCTAATTTGTTCGTTTGGCATTTTTCACATTTCGATATAAAACCTTCTACGTCTCGGCGTAATCCCGGCCAGTCATGGCTCAGTCAGATTCACTCTATAGTTCGAGATACCCCTTGGTGACCTCCAATAGGAGTATCATGGTACTCGTAAATAATTTGTTGCCGTTCTTCTTCCGAGTATTTTCGGTCAGATTTCTCTTGTGGAACAGTTTCTTCTATCTTTCCTTTACTCCTAGTAGTGACGCATATCCTGCTTAGAGCGTCTGCGTTCACATTGGCTTTTCCCGCCTTATATTCGATCTCGTAATCGTATTCTTCCAGTTTCAAACGCCATCTCATCAAACGAGAACCTGGATCCTTTATACTAAAGAGCTAAGTTAGTGGCTTATGGTCCGTTACTATTTTGAAATGGGTACCATACAAGTACGGTCTGAAGTGGTTGACAGACCATACGATAGCGAGTAATTCCTTCTCCGTAGTACTGTAATTTTTTTCGGCTTTATTCAGTGTACGGCTAGGATAAGCTATTGGCAAATCCTTGCCTACTGGTCCTTGGGACAATATTCCACCTATTGCCTTATCTGAGGCGT